CCAGTCGGACCGGGAACCGGTGGTTCAGCCGGTCCGAATCTTAAGTTGGATCAGTTATGCAGTCAACCCGTTTCAAACCGGATTAAACTGGTCAATTTTCCGGTTCAACCGGTGAACCGGTGGGTCAAACCGGTTCAACCACTTTTTTTTCTTTTTTTTTAACATTTTTTTTAAGGGACCATAAACCACAAAAATAATAATGAAAATTGAATATCTTAATGGAAGAATAAAGATTCTTATTAAATACTAGCAGAAAAAAGGCACTTCGTGCCTGCATTGTATTAAAAAAACTAAAAGAAAAAAAAATGAGAAGTTACTCATAAAAAAGTAGTTATTAAAAAATAAATAAAGGATAAAATAATTCATGTAAAAATGAGAACCAAAAGTAATTATTGTAAAAATGATTTATTAGTTTCAAATTCTTAAATTTGATTAAAAATATTTTTTCTAATTTTTTAACATAAAAGGGTATAATGGTCCAAAAAAGTGGAGACCAAGGTAGTTATCAAAATGGGTATCCCCTTTATATATTAGTATAGATTAGTATAGATAACAATGACTGCTTGTTCTAATGTATTTGTTTATAATATATACAACTTAAATAATTTTTATAGTATATTATTAATTTTAAATTATATATTTAATAATATAATATCTATGTAAATATTACATAAATTATTTTGTGATATCAATTGCAAGCATATTATATGTGTACATATTATTTATATTTTTAATTTGTATTAATATACAGTTTAACATGTAATTTTTTATATATTTTCTGTGGTCAGCTCTTCAAAATCCCCAAAGTTAAAGGGTTGGGATTTCTCTGCTCCAGTGCCGCTCAAACCCGCAGCAGCCGCCAATGTCGGTCCGTCCAGCCGAATCAGCTTTCCTTTTACCACCGATTGCATAATGCCATCGTTGCTAGTGGCAAAACAAAGGAAAAGCCTAATCAACTCAGGATAATAGGGACTAAAACTATTAATATACAGTTTAACATGTAATTTTTTATATATTTTCTTACAAAATAAAAATAAAATTTTAAAATAAGATAGAAAAATTGAAATTTAAAATAAGATATGAATTTATTAAAATTTATAAGTATAAAATACATTTAATATGAATATTTTTTTAATAAAAAT